GGAGAACAAAATATTTATTTCCCCTCTGCCATAAGCGTGCAGTACAAGATTTTAAAACGAATAAATCAAAACAATTAAACGTCCGCCAATGTTTTACTTCCCCTCCTCTAACTGCTTTCCAATCCCACTACTAGATAACCTTGACGCAAATTTCGCAATCGAGTCTCGAAATAACTTCAGTATTATTCGGTCCACGTTGGAGTGCGGACGGAGGAATTTTAAATTTTCTTTAAAATTTAACTATGATTTTGTTTACAAAAACGAATACTTATTGAATTTTTTTCGAAAATGTGTAAAATAAACCATAGTATTCTTGTAATAAAAAACAAATATTCTTAAACAAAAATGCTATTCTAAAATGTTTAAATAAATAAATTAAAGTAAATGTTTAAACAAAAATGGTATTCTAAAATATTTAAATTAAAAAATAAATAAAGTAAATGTTCAAACAAAAATGGTGTTCTAAAATATTTAAATAAAAAAATAAATAAATCAAAGTAAATGTTCAAATAGGCCCCCAAACGCTGCTGTACAATAGGTTAACCTATTATAAAATTTTTTTCGTACATTTGACAGCATCTCAGGTCTGATATTCCTTAATGTATTAATTATTAATTCTCTTAATTCATCAAGGTTATTTGCCCTGATATGCTGGAATCCGTACATTTTGGATTTGGCATATCCCCACATAAAAAAATCGCACGGAGCCAAGTCCGGTGATCTTGCTGGCCAGAGAATATTTCCGTGACCACTTATGCGGTCTGCAAAAGTGTCTTGCAAATATTCTCTTACCAATAGGGTATTATGTGCGGGACATCCATCCTGTTAAAACCATACTGACTCAAAAGGCACAGGCAGAGCACGAACTGCGGGAACAATTTCATTTTGCAGCAGTTCAAGATACTTTTGACCATTTAAGGTACCATCTATAAAAAATGGACCTATAACATGGTCTCCCAGCATTCCACACCAAACATTTAATTTTTGTGGTCGTTGAGTATTGGCAGCATAATGCTGATGAGAATTCGTCCTGGACCAATACCGATGGTTCATGGAATTATGCCTACCATGTATAAAAAATGATGACTCATCGGTAAAAAGGATATTTCGTGTGAAATTTTTATCTCGGTTCGCCATTTCTATAACTGTTTCGCAAAATTCCATGCGACGGTATGGATCATCAGGAAATAGCTCATTACTCCTCTTTAATTTGTATGGGTGATACCCATGCTTTCTTAAAATTTTGCCTACCATAGACCGTGATAGATCGAACTGTTCGGCAACTTGTCTGGTTGACTGGGTTGGATCTTGTTCGATGCTTGCATAAATTAAAGTGTCCCGTAATTCGCGTTCTTCATTTACTGGCCTTGCTTGCGGTTCCCTATTATGAACCCTATTAACACTGCCGAATGTTAAAAAATTATTTACAACATTTTGAATTGTTGCCCTTGCTGGTAAGGGTCTATTTGGGAACATATTTGGAAATAATCTTTGAATTTCTCGATCTGAGATCCCATTTAAATGCCACGTTATAAATTGAATCTTTTTTTCAAGGGTTTAAACCATTTTTATTAGAGAATATTTCCTAATTTATAACAAACGTACTTACTACCGCTTACTTACAACACATTCTCTTGTCTGCGGCGCGGTCTGGCTTGCCCCACTACTCTTACGTCACTCCACCACTTCCACGTCTCATAATGCATTTGTCTTTATTTATTAAACGGCCTAAGAGCACAATACCAGTGAGCATTATAAAAAATACATGTCTTAAATGTCCACTGGTAAAACGGTTTACCAGCCTATTTTTTCTAAATGATTGTAAAAAAATATTTTTTTTTGCTCAGGAATCATAGTTTTAGACCACCTATTGCGATTTCCAGGAAAAAAATTTAAATTAGAAAAAAAATAGTTTTGGGCGTTAAAAGCGTACATTGAAAAAAAAACTTGGCGCATAATTTTTTCAAAATTGTTAGATAATTAAGTAAAAAATGCATTTTTTTTTTTATATTGCCAATGTGGGATGTATGAACAACAATATATATATAAGTCAATCTGCTAAAATTGAGTTTTTTCGTGATATGATTTTTTTAATTACAAAATGTTTAATACCTACTTGATTGTTTTTGCACATTAATCGCCGAAAGCATATTTTACAAATACAAAAGGAAAGGACGACAGAAAATGGTCTATTTATTAATAAAACTATATATTTTAAAAAAGGGACCTTATGTAAATTAAGTATCGAAGTAATGTATGTTCAGTTAACGTACAAGCGCACGCAATAATATCGCCACCAGTTTTAAATTGCTAACGAGTAGTAAATAAAAAGATCTAGTTCTAGCATCACAGTTGCTAGGTAACACTTTTGTTTAATAAATAGTTTTGACAGGTTTTGTGTCTCTCATAAATTATCGTAGTCAGCTAGTTAGTTAATAAAATCATTATTTAAACACGAAAAGTAAACCAGCATCTAAGGTAAGTCATAAAGAAAATAGACGAAAAGTATGTTCAGGGTGTGGAAAGAAAATTTTATTTGGGAAAAGCAAAGAAGTTAGCCGTATACGAAAGACTCGTAAATTTGTATTTAAACCAAAATTATGACAAAAATATTTATTTATTTATTATTAATAACTTATTAAACTAAAGTGTTGCCTGGAACGGTGACGGCTAACTAGATCTTTTTATTTACTCCTTATTCGCAATTAAATGTAAATAATTGGTGGCGGTATTATTGCGTAAGCGTATACCTCAACTGAACATACATTACTTAGGTACTAAATTTATTTAAGAGCCCTGCTTTTTTTTAAATACTGTCGTCCTTTCCTTTTTATTTGTAAAATATGCTTTCGTTAATTAATGTGGAAACTGCTGTGTTTCAAACATATTACAATTAAAAAAATCATATCTACGCCAATGGTTGCGGTTACTAAAGCATCATTTGATTAAAAAAATTTTGACAGTTCAAATAGTCATTTAAACTATGTTAACATAGTTTAAAATAATTATTTTTCGTCATGTGACAAAAATCACCCAATCATTTCAACATTTAACTGATAACAACACTCAGGGAAGTTTTCAATCACTATGACAATATGTCAATTTCATAATAGTTATTTACGATATAAGTGGGATAAGAGCTTTATTAACGTACGCATGCGAAATTTGCCCAACGAGTGCGTAGCACGAGTTGGGCAATCGCAAAAGTACGTTAATAAAGCGTTATCACACGTATATTGTACAAATTTTTATCTACGCCTCTAAATGAAAAAATAAACGGTAATTATTTTTGTCTAAGACTTAATTTAGGGTTATTTTGACATTTTGACATTTTGACTTTTTATTTAATTGGTTAAAAGCAGAGAAAAACGCGTGCGTTAATGAACTTCTTATCTCACTCAAAATGAGTGGGATAAGAAGTTCTTATCTCACTGGCGTAGATAAAATAAATTTCAATATGTCACGTTTTGGCAATTTGAATTTTAAAGCTATAAACGCGCTTATTAAAGAAAACATTCCCAAAAATACTACAAGTTGTCATAAATATACGTGGGGGATATTTATGGAGTTTTGCTTTGAACGCAAATATTATTTAAACGAGAATAGAAGCGAAGAAGAAATATTAAAAGATTCGGCGGTCAATATGAGGAAGAAAGATGGGACCGAATTTAAAGAAGCCACTGTTAAGACCTTGTGGAAAGTTACGTGTAAACTTTTGCAACAGAATTACTATAATGAATATAAGATAATGATTGACCTGTGTAACAGCATAGTATTTACATAAACCTGCCCGAGATGCCCGTGATGCAACCCGAAAGAAACTGCAAGCATATTCATGTAAAGGTTGGACCAGTTCAGTTTGTCTGAAATAAACCTAATATGTACTTTTAATAAATAAATAATCGTTGTGTTGCAAGTTATTTGATTTTTTTATCAAAAAATTTTCTGACCGAATATCCCTCTGACATTGACAAATGCCTCATAATTTTGTGTCAAATTTCTCAAGCACGTTTGTTAGTAACACCCCTCTGCCTTCGGCGTCGGGCTGTTACCAAGCAACGTGCTTTCGATTGTCATAAAATTATCGTGCATTATCAATGTCCTAGGGATATTATAGCTGATAATTTAGTCGTCTTTATTTTCAACAAATTCGAAAAAAATCTTAAATAAGTCACTAAATTGATATTTTTAAGAAATAGAATGTTCGAGATAATTCTTAATGGTCTTATGCTTACGAAGTTATTTCGCTTTTTTAGGAAAAGATCGTATTTTATCAAATTATTGAGTTCAGAACGGTTTCCTCGACGACAAAAGTATATAGACTTGGAACGTGTACATACAAAAAAGTATATGGATCCTCCAAGAATCATCTGCGATCACTGGAAGAATTAGCAACGCTTCAACCTTCGTTACCAATCGGGAAATTTTTGAGGGCCACAGACACAGTTTGTGTTGCCTGCTATGAAAAATTACGCTCACGGTTTTTAGCTCCTCTGGAAAAACTCACAGATAACGAACTTGACTCAACGACAAATTACAGTCCACCGTCTCCATCTTCTTCCAAAAACTTTCATGATTCCGAAGTAGATCAAAAAATTTCAGCTGGACGTTTCTCCATTAAAAAAATCAAAAATAAACGAAACTACTGTTACATATGCATCTAATAAACGAAAACAATTAACCACCAACTTCGACTCAAAAGTATCTGAGAAAATACGAAAAGTGTTGAATATTCCAGAAGACGAAATGTTTTCTGCTCCATTTCCAAAACTAAACGACTGCGGTTTTTGTGTCAGCTGGGCAGCTGAATTCACTATCAGGCAAAGAAAGTGGTGAAGGAGAAAGGAGTATATTACAATCCAGATCCTTACTTCGGTCATCCTATTGATCAAACGTCGATAAATATTGCTCAAGAATTTTACTTGAATGATGACTTTGACTGTTGTCGACAAAGTCCCAATAAAAACGATGTCAAAAAAATCGTATTAAATGGGGTAGACATGAAAAAAGTGAAGCATTTCATGACAAGAAGTATTAAAGAAACTTATCAGATTTTTAAAGAAAACAATCCTGGTGTGAAAATTGGAATATCTAAATTTTACACTCTGCGTCCAAAGTGGGTAAGCTTGAATTCTTCCCAAGATGTCTGTCTCTGCATTTATTGGGCCAATTTTGATTTGCTACTTGCAACTTTGAAAAGCTATAAAAAAGATGAAAACAAATTCACGTCGATTTTGCTGGGATATAATCGGATATTTTAAGAGATGAAATTTAAGGTCATCATTAAAAAAATTATCAAGTATCGATTTTTACAGCGGTTTGTTATTATCTCAAAGATACCTTGAGCTATGCAGTTGTTACTGATGATCGCAGTCACGACTCAGCAAACGCTATCAACATTATTATTGATGACATTCATTAGAAATACTAAAATGTTACAATTAAAAACATAACAATTATATCCGATGGAACTCCAAGAATCGGTATCAATTTTCCGAATTCGGAAAATCTCCAGGTTCGAGAAAATGGATATTTTCAGCTTCTGGACATGGCAAAGGAGCTTATGATGGGGTCGGAGGACTTCTTAAACATTTTGCGACGAACCACAATCTGCGAAAAGGACCAATTGAATGTATTCAAGATCTCAAAACGTTGGCCGGGATAATACCAGGTTATACGCCTAATGTAAAGATCTGCTTACTGGATGATCAGAAATTGAAAAAATTTCGAAACAAAAACAAAAAGAATGGGGTAAATGTAAATCATTGAAAGAAATCCGGCAAACTTGCGTTTGGAAAACGGAAAGCGACGGAAAAACCTACTTTGCGAAAACGAGCGACCATGATTGGACCATTGTAAATTGATTGTGCTATTGAATAAAATTAAAATTGTTTATATTATTCGTTAAAAATTTTATTTTTAACTTAAACCATTGTATGTCAACAATATTCTATCATATTTATAAAGTCTATAGCTTTCATATGAAACTTAAATATTCATAGATATGTACATTAGGGTGTCCCTTATTTTTATTTTTTTTACGCATACCCTCTAATTATATTTATTACTTGTTTATATACTCCCAGTAAAAATTTCAGCTCATTCTATAAACGGGAACCCGTGCCGACTTGCATCTGAACCCTCCGTTAGCCAACCTTAGGCGCGCGAAACACGAAACACTTTAAAAAGAAGATATACTCCATGACTGTATTTTTCTAATGATTTTATTAAATATGATTACTAATTAATATTATTGCTTTTGTTTCTATCATTTGTTTCACTAATTTAGTTGATTTTATTCCTTAAATATATTAATATACCTACTAATTAGTATTGCTAAAATATATGAAATTTCAGCTTTTTATAATAATTTCTTTTCTTGATGTCCTCCCAAAAATATTTCAGACAGTTCAATAAGTTTTCGGTAGTCATCTCTCACAATAGACTCTTTTAGTTATTTAGAGTAAAACCCATTAAGTTTATCAATTTCAGAGTTTACGGCCTATTCAACAGACCCCTCCGGGTAACTAACCACTCCCTGTGAAAATATACATTTTTATCAAAGTATACACATAAATAAAACTATATTTTAACATTTGTCAATAATTTATAATATAAGGGTCACATAATAACAAACACAAAATGACTTCGCGACCAACCGTGTTACAAAATACCGCGCGCCTAACGTTGGCTAACGGATGGTTCAGATGCAAGTCGGCACGGGTTCCCGTTTATAAGTATATAAACACGTAATAAATATAATTAGAGGGTATGCGTAAAAAAATAAAAATAAGGGACACCCTAATGTACATATATAAAAAAAATTGTGAATACTCAAATCATATCTCGAAAAAAACGAATTTTAGCATATTGACTTTTATATATATTGTTGTTCATACATCACACATTAATATCAAAAATTATCAAAAAAAATGTGGCATTATCAAATTTTTTTTTTTTGTAATATGTATTTTTTACTTAAATAACAATTTTAATTATTATTAAAAATTTTTCCCGAAGGCCGAAGAGCATTGTCCTTTGGTGCGAAGCACTTACTTTATGACAGCCTCATCATGAGGCCCTCATGACATAAATCATGAGGCCCTCATAAACTAATAAACATGCGTATAATTTATTTATTTTTTCAGTTTAATTTGCTTTATTATCAATGATTCTCAGTAGGGCCTTTCCTTTACGTTTTGCCGTCAGTATGCTAAATACAATTTGCCGCCTTTCACAAAGGGGTGTTTTTTATTTTAATCTCAATGCCATTTTCATACAAATTTACAAATAAAACCAAAATTAAAGGACAAAGTTTTTTGTACGTCCAAAATTTAAAAGGATTTAGAAGTATCTTATTATTTTTTCTTTTATATTTCGACCAATTACAAACTGTGTTTTAGCTACAACAATAATTGCTTGACACGAAAATGTTAATAATACCTTTATTCAACAAACCCTTCAATTGTGTTTTGGTTCAACAATGAACAAAACGAAAAGATTTAGAAAAACATTTTGAACATAATTATTTAAACATAATTTAAAAACCTCAAATTCGAACTTGGCATGTCAAAACCTTTGGAAAAAATAAAAAAAAAATAGGCTCTTTTTTCCTAGACTTTTAAACATGCTCTTTGGTCTACAAATTTCTTATCAACACTTCTGTAAATTACTCCAAATTAATAAAGTTGTAATGCCTCGAATAAAATCTTTGATTTGCCGCCCAGTAGGAGCAGTTCTTAATTAAGGGTTAATGATAAGTAATTAACGTTTAAATTTTCTATTTAAAAATAAATTTAAAATAACACTTCAATGTGGCTGTCCTTTATTAAATTATAATTTAAAAAAAATGATTCATAATGATTATTATTATATACTCAGATGTCATTCTTAATATAATATAGTATAGCATAGTTTTTAGTCATTTATTGTACAATGTTACATACTTATTTTGTTGCAATATTTATAAAAGTTAAATTTAAATAAAAAATTTATAATAATATTTTTTTATAATTAAGACACGAAATAAATATTATTAAAATTTAGTACGAGCTAAACAAGTAAAGGTTTATAAGCACAAGCGCAACAAAATAAAAAATAAAATTAACGCCAACTGTTATATTGCGGTTCTTTATACCCTATAAATTTAAAAGCAGACTCATTCATCAAAAGCTTATTTTACATTTAGTAATAAACTGTCTATTTTTTTATTAACAGCAGCTGACACAAGACATCAAAACTTGCAGCAATATTTAGCCCCCCTGGCACCTGTGTCCGTCAAATGTACATTTTAGAATTTTTTGAGTTCAATGGTTAATAGATTAAAAACCTTTAACTTGAGTTCTCCAAAGTCTAAATTTACCCGCCACATTTGTTTTTATTTTTCATTATGCCAGTTGGGGGGTTTTATTTATCCAAAAGTTTGTAAAGCAACAGCCCTTTCTAGAAAGGGAGAAAATGTATGACTTAAAGAAATATAGCTGGTTAAATCAAATTTGAAATAATATTTGTATTTATTGTTTTATAACGTATTAAAATTTGTGTCTTTATATTTTTTAATATAATCTTAAACAATACAATATTTAATTTATATCAGCAATTTTAATTATTAAAAAAAAATATCATTTTAATTTAATATTAGGATATTGTTTCTATTAGGACAGGTGTAAAATTGCCAAATAAATATATGCTTAAAAATCTATTTGTTTAAATAAAATTATTATGAACCATCTCTGTAATAGTTTTTTTGAATCGATTTTATAAATTAGATTCAGAAAAACTACAGTCAAGGGAACCTACTACAAATAAGGGTAAATAAGGGTAATTACGTAAGTAAATAAGACAAAACATAGGAAAATACAGTTTTTTGGTGGATTAATTTTTATTATTTTTCTACTTTTAGATCCGATACACTTTGCACATATGTGCGATATCGTTTCTAAAGTTTTTTTTGCTGTCAAAAAAAAATAAGGTTGCGACATTTTATTCTTGTTCGACCTGAATATTTCTGGCGATCACTTTCATGTTTAGAAATAGAAAGCACTGAGAAAAATAACTATTTATATATTTTTAAAAAGGCACGTTAACTATATGCATATGCCATGGCATATGGAGAAAAAAATATTAATTTGTGCTGAAAAACTAGTTAAATTGAATCCAAGGATTAATAAAAATACCTGAAGTTCTATCAACATAATGTAAATAGGAATAACTCTTTGAGTTTTTGCAATTGCCAAAACTATGTATAATATTTAGATCTTCTCTATAAAAGCTTTAGTTTTCATATAGCATAATTGCATAAACTTTAACAATAATAAAGTAATCTTTTGCAATCTATGATAATTATAAAACTTATTTTGACTTTTATATTCTATTAAATAAAAATATACTTTTATCAAAAGCAGTTATTTTTACAATAACGTATTTTGTTAATAATTACTAAGAAGGTTTCTACAACGTCTGATTATTGTTAAAAGTATTGTGGTGCTATAATATTTTATTACAAGAATGACACTTATTTACATACTGAAGAATAAATTTTAAAATTTCTATGACTTCTTTTAAATCTTTATTAAATAGTAAAAAGCCACTTTATAGTTTTGATTCCTGATGCAGATGTGCCACAAATTTGGATTGGATTTTTTTCGGTTATTTTTCTTTTAAATAGTGTTCCTATTTCAATCGCATATTGCCTATGCCATAATTATTTGGGGTCATTGCTCTGAGTCATACAGAATATTTAATCTTCAACGCAAAATTATAAGGATTATTGTCTTCCTTGGTTACAGGGACGATTGTAGGGCTGAATTTAGAAGACTTGGTATTATAACTTTTCCAGCGTTATTTATTTATCAAAATCTTCTATGGGTAAATATTAATTTAAACTTATATAAAAGTCATGACTGTGCACATAACAATAGCACTAGAAATAAATCCAACTTAATTAATCGATTCTCTAGACTGAACATGTGCCAAAATGGACCTGATTTTTATGGAATTAATTTTATTAACAAACTTTCAAATAATGTAACGATATGGCTTTTAATGAATACAAACTGTTTTTAAAATCCTTTTTTACTAATCATTCATTTGATTCTATTGATGAGTTTTTAAACTATTTTATTATATTCGTTGTTTAATTTTTATTTACATTTCTTGTACTATTTTAATATTTGTATTTTCCTGACGTTATAAACCTTTTGGTAATGGCACTAATAAATAGCATTATTATTATTATTATTATTATTATTATTATTATTAATATTATTATTATTATTATTATTATTATTATTATTATTATTATTATTATTATTATTAATATTAATATTATTATTATTATTATTATTAATTCACACGAAATCCTATTTTTTCACCGTGGTAAAATATTAATAGTTGTTTTATAAATTGATATAAATATGGCTAATCAGGATACTAGAGCCATCTTTTTGATTTTATACGGTTACTGACCTACCCATCGTATTAAAGGGTTATACATAAATTTTAATTTACTGGATGCTGACGAAACGGAATGGGTTAATTTAAAATATACATTAGGGTGATTCATTTCCGCAAAGTTATTTTTTTTTTCGGTGCTCAAGCAAAATATTAATCTACCTATAGAAAAAAAATTTTCACCAAGGTAGAGCTCTTAATATCAATTTTAAGTACTTGCAGTTTAAATTTAAAGTTTTCCCATTTAAAATGCATGTAAAAAAAAATGTTTTTTTTCAAATTTCTAATGCTCGCCCGCT